GCCCGGCGCTTTTTTTTGCTTTGAAACTTGGCCCTTAACGATACTTGTAACTTTGTAATACGATAGGCGTGGTAGCTTCAAGATGATTGGTTAGTGGGAGCACAAAGCTATTTGTTGCTGGATGTGGTTTGAAGACTTTTTCTAAATGGGCGACAAATATATTTGCCTTCTCTTCGTTGCTGCGAGCCCACTTTTCTCTTTGTGTACGTAATGGTGATTCACTCTCGATTGGTGGACATACACCGGATTTAGCATTCCCCATGGCTTTATGAATTGTTGTGGCCTGTAGATAAGTTGTAGCAAATGATGGCAACGAATAGTGCCTGATGCGACGCTTTATCAGGATGCCAGTACCTTTATGAGCCTTACCATCGGGATGATTGGTCGCACAGAAGTTATAGCCATTGAGATAAAACCATTTAAGTAGATTTCTGTTTGATTAGTAATTCCAGGAGATTTTGATTACCATTTGCCATTGTATTTGTTAGAGTTGCCCGAATTGATTCAATTCTACTAGGCAATTTGGATGTATTTGGTTTGGTTTCACCCACAGTTGCTACATTTTTCAGCAGAGGGATCCTCCTTATTTACAGGGCAGGGCTCATTGAGATGTACATCCCCGCAGGCAACACAGACTGCGCGTAAGGTGCATTGAACAGGTCCATTTCGTTTGTGCGGTTTCTCAACGGTGATTTTACGGTGCAGTAGATATTGCAGCTTGTAAATTGGGTGAACTTCATTTTTACTTATAGGCATACAGTCAGGTGTCAGTTCAACCTTGAACATTGGTTGGGAATTTTATTTTAATTTATTATGGCCATGTTGACTTCAAAGCCTTTATCTTTAAGTCCATCTTTTATCTCGCTGACTGGAACCGTTGGCTCTACTTTTAAGTTGGTAGGTGTAGTAGTTTATGTTTTCATCGTCGTTGTATTTAGCCACTGATCAATAGTTATTTTCGTCATTGACATGTATTTTATTTTCATTTATGCTACCCCTTTTATAGGCGTAATATAGAATTTGTTCTCGCCAATTTCGTTTGTGAGTTTTTTAACTAATTCTGTATAGTACAATTTGCCTGACGCACATAAATAGGTGGCCTCTTTAGAAAAAAAACAAACTCTATCTGCCTACGACTAAGGGGAACCTGTATGCCAAGTTTGGTTATCCCAGCTATTGTACATACTGAGATCATTGCGCTGATACAGACAGACGGTCGGACAGACGGATATGGCTATAACGACTCGACTTGTGATCCTGATCAATATCAATAATATACATGTATACTACACTAGGAGGTCTTGCCCGTCTTTGCTGGGCTAAGTAAAATGTACTTATAATTATAAGTTTATTTACTATATGATATTCTTCTTTCGACGCTCTCTAACATTTTTTAAAGAGTTAATTTTCCAAATAACAAATATAGTACAATAAGTACTATGTATGGTTATACATACATATGTACATATCTTCGTTACGCACCGGGCGGACTGCCAGTCCTGACTTAACTGTGTGCTTCCTCAGCACGTTTTACGTACGGTCGCTTACGCAGTCGTTGCCTAGCGACGGTAACTGTACACTTTTAGCATTTTGCCTTTGAAATTAACAGGCGTAAATTAGAGCTGGCAAAAATTCGATTTTGCCTACATCGATTTTTTCAAACTAAAAAATCGATTTAAATCGAAAAATTTGCTTCAACTGGAAGGAGTTTTTCAAATATCATTTCAATAGAAATTGCTTTCAATTAACAAAGAAACAAAAGATTTAATTGCTTTCCAAGCAAAGTACTTAGCTTAATTAAAAAACAAAAAAACAAAATTCATTGATTTGATTTAATAATAAATCCGAATTCACAGAATTCAATTGGCATCAATATCATTAATCCACCAATTCTTGTTGATAAATACTAATCAACATTTTTGGGTTTTAATTTTCTCCATGTATTGTCGGAGAGACACAATTGCATCTACTCTGCTGCTGCGTGCCTTACTCGCAATGTTTATGTGCATAAAGTTTAACACGGATGGTTGGGCCTCAACAGCCGCTACTGGCGGCTCTTCAAAAGGTGTTGGCGGGGCTTCTGGAGGTGGCGAAGCTTTTCCGATGGAAGTCAAAATGTTTTCAACTAATCTGACGGCATGTTCAGCATTATTTGATGACCGAAATCCCTCCTTTTTAACTCTCGGGTCAAGGATAGTTGCAAGTGTTGTGGTGCGCTCTTCAAATTGATATAGTCTCTTTTTAATATTTTCAATTAAAAACAAACAAGCTTGCTTCCATTTCTCTGTCTTCAGATTTGGTTCCTGCGCTATCAGGTTTTGTGCCAGGCCATTTGACAGTGGGATCACAAATGAAATTGTTACTTTGGAGCTTGATGATATACGATTGGTGGCATCGTCGAAAGGAGCTAGCAATAATTTTAGGTCCTCTAGTAGGCTTATATCATCTGCTGTTAGAGGTTCTGGAGCCTTTGATATCCTCAAAAGAACTAGTGAAATTGGCTCTTTAGTTAAAAGAACTCGCTCAATCATTTTATAGGCGCTGTTCCATCTTGTAGGAACCTCTTGTGTTAGGCTATATGCCTTTTGTCCATTTTGCGCTTGTTTGAACTTTTCATAGGCTATCGTGTTGCTTTTGAAGAAAGTTACAATGCGCTTGCACTTTGCTAACACAGGTTTTAAAAAGTCCTGTGCCAGACAGTCTTGCACGACGAGATTTACGCAATGGGCAAAGCATGGAAGATGCCGCTTTTGCAAGATACCACAAGCTTTTATCATGGCACTTGCATTGTCTGTTACTATGGTCGACACTTTGGATATTATGTTCCACTCTTCTAAAGCTATACGCATTGAAAGTGCAATATTTTCAGCTGAGTGATTTGTGCTGACCAACAACGATATGGTCGACAATACTGCTGCAAGTAAAGTAAAGGTCCCATCAATAAAATGGCAAGTAATTGTTAAATAACCTTCATTAGCCCTCGATGTCCAGCAATCTCCTGTAATTGCGCACTGCTCTGCTTTTGCAATTTGTCCTTTAAATTGCTGTACATTGTTTCCATATGTCCATTTTTTATTGTGTTTCTAGATGGTAATTCATAACGTGGATCCAGTTCTTTAACAAAATTCCTGAATCCACGATCCTCAACAATTGAAAATGGTTGGACATCAATGGCAATCATTTTCATTAATGCTATGTCTACATTTTTTTTGCGCATCGACTCACGTTTTTATATTATTGTCTGGCAGTCCGTTAGTTGACATTTTTTCAAACGCGGGGTGAGACCGCTTTAAATGGTTAGGCATATTTGTGGTATTGCCGCATGTTTTGTATTTAGTGCCACATAAAAGACACTTGGCAAATTGACCATCTTTAGCCTTTTCAAAATACCTTTGAACCTTTTCCGTTTTTTCCCGAGAAGTCGCCAATCTCGTCATTGCAGCTTGCCACTGACGCTTTTTTTTGGCGCCATTTTAAATTTGTAAGAAACAAATTAACCTGCAACCTGTGTAAGGCTGTGTATGAAACTTTCCTATTGAACAATGTAAATATGCATCCATCGGAAACCCGCCAACACCTTTTGTTTCACTTTGTTTATCTATATTAATTTTACATTGTTAAATATAATAATATACCTACAACATATATATACATGTTTTACTTACTCTTTACTTTCGCCTGATTTTGTTGTGATGTGAAAATCTTCGATTAATCACGATTTTTTTCAGAATCGATGCATCGGCCACTTTTAAAAAGATCGATTTAATTGAGCTTTATATCGTTTTTTTGCCAGCTCTAGCGTAAATGATCGACACGAAAGACGAAGCGCGAGCCAATGACTTTTTCGTTTTAAAAGTTTGATTTAAAACCATAGAACATTATTTATTACAATCAAACAACAGTGCTCGATTGTCCAATGTGTACATACATACATACATACGAATGTACATACATGCTATAGTATATATGTACATACATACGTATACATATGTACATATGCATGCATGTTTCTCTTTACTTTTTCAATCGTACGTAGAGAACCGCACACATAGACACGAACTGTTGCTTGTTCTGTGTGTGTATATGATGTCCCCAACTATTTTATATTTGCGTTCTTTGTAATTTGTTGTTGCTGCATAAAGTTACTAATGAAAACCATAATGCAAAATGTACTAAACAAAGAAAAAAATACTTTTAAAAATGTTAAATAATTTTTAATTAATTAACATTTCTTGCTCTGTCAGTGCAAGACGAATGAACATACATACACAGATGTGTACATATGTATGTGTGTACATTCACACATTAGTGTCTCACATTTTGCTTTGGCTATTTCAATCATTTGCACGCAACTACACGAACAGCTGCTTGTATGTGTGTGTGTATGTATACTTAGTTGTCCCCAACTGTTTGATATTTTGTATTGTTTGTTCTGCCTGCATTTGAAAAATGCATATTTTGAAAATCCTTGAACGCAAAGTTGTAGATGTAGTAGATTACAGTCCCCAAATTTGAAATCGATCGGAAAAAATTTCTAACACAAACTTTTCATTTGAAAAGGTGCATAATGTTTGTATTCTTTTATAGATTATAAAAATCAAATTTAAAGTTGATCGGTGCAGAAATGCAGAATTTTCAAACAAACTTTGGAGCTCGTTTTCCCCCCTGTGGAGCTCCAATTTTCCAAAATTAGTGGGCACCTACACTATGAAAGGTTACTTGAGTCCAAATTTCAGCTTCCTAGCTTTTACCGTTTGGGCTGTACGTTGATCACCAATCAGTCAATCAGGACAAACTGTTTTATATACATATATAGAGATTCGCACAAAACTAATAAAGCCTTTCACCCTTTGGGTACAGGCTAAAAAAAAAATTATATTTGACACTTTGTGAGTTGTAGTCTTGTTTTTCTCTCGACCTTAATTGATACCCGAAATTTTTTGAGCAGTTACACCCTCCACTGTAAAATAGTTTTAATAATACTTTTTATGCTATTTCAGATTCTTCTTGCACCAATATTAGCTGGCTTAGCTATAGCTGTGGGAGTTCCAATATTGCTATTTTATGTTTATGGCATTGTTCCAGTCTCACTTATACGTGCTGGCTGTGCAAATGTTAGCGACGGGGACCATATTGTTGATGACAACTCGAGCACTTACCGAACAAAATACAAAGTTGAGAGTACATGTGCTGAGCGCACATCTAAAAATGGAGACACCATTACAGAGGATAAAGGCCTAACTACGAACTCAAAAGACTCCCACAAGAATCAAAAAGCCCATACAGCTACAACTCAATAATTATAAATTGTTACTAAAGTACATCTTACAGTTAAATGTTTTGGAGAATAAAAATGTAATGCAACTGCTTCTAAGGGTACAAACATAGGCTTCAGCTTCGTCTCAGCGCTTACTATGTTTGTACCCTAAGTTAATAAATATTTTATAATACTTGACGTTTACATAGATACAAACATAGACAAGAACACTGTAGATATGATTAAAATGATAGACAAGAGGTTATTGTATCATTTTTTTGTAAAATGTCTATTTACAAAATAAATATACAAAGTATATATGTACAGTATTTGAGTATATGCGGCTAAATCATTCCATTCCTATTACACCTATACATATATATAAAAATGGAAGTATGTATGTATGTATGTGTGTACATATATACAGGGTGCGACATCTTTTATGTCGGTATGTAAACATTGAATATCTTTGAAAATAAACAACCGATTTTCAAGTATGATATATTTTTATTTAATTTGGTTCTGTACAATTTCTAGAACTGAGGTTTTCAACACTGGTCTACTCCAGTCAATCGGTTCACTAATGACAAAGTTTTTCAATATTTACATACCGACATAAAAGATGGCGCACCCTGTATATATACATATACTATACTAGCGCCCTGCCCCTGCTTCGCACAGGTATTTTTAAAAACATTTTAAAAATACATTTTAAAACACACATACACCCTTCTTTTTGCTGTGAGTTACTAACAAGGAGTAAAATTAATTTTGGATATTATTATTTTAATGATTTTTTGTTCGTTTTTAGATTTTTTTTATTCTTTATTAGGTTAAAGGTTCTATGTAAAAGATATTTGATGTTTTATTTTGTGGTAGCAAAATAAATTGATTTTCAGGCGCTCCGACCTGTGATAGGTCAACATACAGTAAAACATTACTTTCGTATGTTGATGCCTATTAATTCGAAGGCTTGACCTTGGGGACTACCGGAAATTGAAGCCATATAAATGATCAAATGGGATCATCGGTATCCTCGTTATATGAGCTAGTTGATCTGTTGCTCGGCCGTTGATAATAATTGCTACACTTAAATTGTCCTGCAATTCCTTAATAAGCAGCCTCGTCCCATTGCACATGCTTGGAGGCTTTAATTTTTCAAAAGCATGATTGCAATTCCGAATTTTTTATAATATAGCCCATGTTAACCGTCGATAGTGTAGCTTCCCAACAGTGAAAGAATCCATTAAACCGGTCCAGTAGATTCGGAGCCTTTTCAATTCAAACAAACAAACAATCAAATCTTTCCATTGTTTAATATTAGTATACTCTAAAGTTTATAAAAAGTTCATTTCCCAAATAGGAAGCACAGTACAATAAATACTATGTATGGTTATACGTACATACATACAAGTTAACAATAACAACATTAAAAGTACTCTGGTCAACGCTCCGATTCGGTTGCACCAGCTTGCACTGGCACGATACACAAAATCACAGAATCACCGTCTCGTCGGCTTCCGCCATATGCCAAGCCAGCGCAGTTGCAACATAAAATTCACTCTAAGTCATAATATGCTGACATGGCCAAGTTTCGTCAACTTGAGGTTCGCTGCATCGCCGACCGACGGGAAGCGCCGCTGCCAGCGTCACTGAAAGCGTCCACAGCTAGCGTAGGGCTAAACTTAAGTTTGTAAATTCAGTCTTAAAATTATATCAAAACGAATTGGCCAATAAATAAATAAATATAATTTTTATACTCTGTACATGAAATGTACAAGAGTATATTAGGTTTGCGGGAGCTGAAAAATGTAACAGGCAGAAGGAGGCGTGGCAGACCCCACCAAGTGTATATATTCTTGATCAGCATGACGAGACGAGTCGATCTAGCCCTGTCTGTCTGTCCGTCCGTATGAACACCTGGATCTCAGAGACTATAAGAGATAGAGACACCAAATTTTGTGTAAAATGTGTGTATTCTATACGAGTTTGTTTTATTTTTTTGATTTTCCCACCTATGGGGGTTTTCCCGATTTTCCATTCGTAAAATTGCCTATATCTCGGAGACCATAAGACCTAGGAACACCAAATTTTAGTCCAAGGTGCCTTGTGTGAATACGCAGAAAATGTATATTTTGGAATTTCCCTCCCTCCCCCCTCTCCACCGTAAATGCGATTTTCTCTAACCCCCGTAATTCTTGGAATTTCGAACTAAAATTTTGCAAATACCCCCAGTTAGTAATTATGTGTCCGTATGCCAAGTTTCACTATGATAGACCGAGAAGTTATAGCCATAAATATATTTGCTGCTGCAGCGCTGCTCAAGCGCTGCCCGCGACTGTTGATGTTGCTGTGTGGTTGACTGCGCAAATGCTTACACAGACAAGAGTAGATGCGCATACATACACTCACACAGACGCAATTGCTATGTAAATGTGCAATTATACACCCTTTACGTGAGTTCGAATACCGAGAAAGGTAAAATCGATCATTGAATTTTTTTTTATTTTCTTAATTTTTTTATTTTCTATAATTATTGTAAACATATGTACAGAGTATTTCAAAGTCGGGACACCCGACTTTAGCTTTTTTACTTGTTTCAATAAATAAACGTTGTGAAAATTAACTGGCGCCCGAGCAGGGACCAACGACGCGCGATAGAACAAAAAGTCTTCTAAGTGTGCGGTCGGACAACATAGTAAAAAGTCTATACGTCGCGACCAATTCGTTGGCAAAGAAAAAAACTATTCGGTTCGAATAAGACTCCCGCACAAAATCGCGGTCGACCAATAGTGCGGAACTTAATTGTTCAAATAAAAATTTAATCAGTAGTCTACACATCCTGTCAGGCTCGCCCGCAGGATAACTTGCAACCAGTACGCATCGCAGGAGCCCTAGTAGGAATCTGGAGAGACCAAAAAGAATGACATCCGGATCGTCGGCAAGAGTGGCCACAACAACACTCCTAATGTAAGCTAGTGAATAAGTGAACACAAAAACGAAAATCTGCACAAAAAACATTAAAATAAGCAAACATAAAAATAAAATTTTTAAATAAAAAGCGAAAAAGAATTATAAACAAAACCTTAAGTTAAGTGAATAGTACAAGGTGATTAAATAAAACATTGTAAAACGATCAAATACTACGTCTTAATTGCGTTGACAAAGGAAATTTATTTCCTTCGAGCAGTATAATATAACCCAATCCTGCGAATCCTTAAAGGACCCTCCAGGGTAAAAGGGAAAAACCAGCTACTTGGTTTTCAACAAGTTTTAATAAATAAATACGAACCTTTTACAAATAAATTATAAATAAAACCTCGAAAAAATCCCTTGTAAAGCAAGAAGTAAGAAATAACAAGTGACAATTGTTGCCCAATATTTTCACACACACACACACGAATTTGAAATCCGAAGCCACAAATAAAATAAAGGCAAATAAAATACCACACAAACACACACACTCACGTCAAATAACAAATACAACATTGTCAAAACAACGAAGAAAAATATTAGTGCATTGATAAAGTTGGCATTTAGTCCTACCATTTCACACTTTGGATTTTACATCTGCATGTTATATTTCATTATTTTTAAACGTTCAATACATTTGCTTTAATTTTCATATTTATATTTTTATACCTTTGTATTTTTGCATTTTGACATTTTGTATTTCTATTTTTGATACACTGACATTTCGATTAACTACGACACCAAATTTCCCGAATAAGCTATATGGCAAATCAAGATAATTTAATTAGACCAGCCGTTATTGATTTAGACGAACAAATACAAGAAGGGGAGCGACAACTAAGATCGCAGCAACGATAGTTACAGAGACAGTTAGAATTTCAACAACAGAGAAATATGGAGGAACAGCAAGCACTGCTAGCCCTTATTACAGGCTCCGTCACACGAGCAATTAACGAACAAGTGCCAGCTCTAGTTAGAGAAATAGTCAACCCAAGTCAGAATTTCTTAAATGAACCAGATCAAGAGATTAGGCCAGAACATCGGGCAAATTTGGCTGACTTAGATAGAGTGCCAGACGTGGTGAAGTGTCTTCGCGAATTCTCAGGAGATCCCTCTCAATTTAACTCATGGAAAAAGGGAGTAGACAGGATATTAGAGAACTATGAGTCCCAACGGGGCACCCCAAAATATTTTGGCATCTTGCATACCATACGCAACAAAATAATTGGCAATGCCGACATAGCCTTGGAATCATACAATGTTCCTTTAAATTGGGGTGCCATCTCGAAGTGCTTAACACTGCACTATGCAGACAAACGTGACTTGAGTACGTTAGAATATCAGATGACAACGATAGTTCAGACCAACAACCAAACAGTGGAGGAATTCCACCAAGCGGTCTACAAACATCTGTCTCTGATTTTAAATAAAATTGGTTGCATGGAATTGCCACGGGAATCAGAACAATTAATGACTAAACTTTATCGAGATAAAGCTTTAGATACATTTGTTCGGGGTCTTAGAGGCGACCTCCCACGTCTGCTGGGCATGAAGGAACCAGCTGACCTGCCACAAGCCCTGCACTTGTGCCTGAAAATTGAGAATCAGACCTTCAGGTCTAACCACGCAGCCACTAGGGCACAGCCCATCGGTTTCCGACTATTAGGACAGAAACCAATTCCAATGCCCAGACAAACAATTACACCAAGTAATTCAGTTAACCACCAACAATCAATCAACTTCCGTCAACAGCCAACCCAGACAAACAATTACACCAAGTAATTCAGTTAACCACCAACAATCAATCAACTTCCGTCAACAGCCAACCCACTTTCGTCAAGAACCACAATGGGGTAACAACTCCATAGAAATTTCCAAAATTATCCAAACCTCCACCAACGTGACAGACATATTTACCAACAACAACCAATTGCTCCACCTCGCCCTTCGGCACCAAAACCGCTGCCACGCCCAGAACCTATGGACGTGGATCCCAGCATCCGAACTAGACAAATTAACTACATGAACCGACTGGTAAGCGACCTTCAAGTAATATGCTGCCAGCAGACAAAAGACAAAGGAATTTCAATATCGAAAGCAACGAAAACGAAACGAACGGCACAGACAACACAGTGACAGACTACGAACAAGCAATCGACAATTACGAAGCGACCGACGAACCTGGGGAAACATTAGAAGAATACCAGGAACGATTCAATTACGACTACAGTACTGATACACCACAAGCTGAATATGCCGACGTACATTTTTTAGAAGAGTACGACTACGAATTACTCTACAAACCCGGAAGAGATAATGTCGTGGCAGATGCTCTGTCTCGCATAACGAACCCCAT